TACTTCTGCTATTTTTTAGTTATTTCAGCAGCTTTATTCTCCATTCTTTATGTATTTTGCAGCATGCTTCTAGAAGGGATCTTGAGAGGCAAGATTATGTAATTACAAGGCATCCTGAATTTCGATACAAAACAGAATTTCAGAGTCATGAACCTGAGGTGTTTATCTTGGCTAAACTCAATAAAGTAGATTCGTTCAACAGTTCTTTTTGTCCATATATATATATTTTTTTCATTTTTTTTTGGGGTGCTCAGTTTGACTACCTTAAAAGCTTGGAAATAGAAGAGAAAATCAACAAAATCAGATGGTGCCAAACCTCTAATGGTGCGTTGTTTCTCCTATCAACTAATGACAAAACAATAAAGTTTTGGAAGGTAAATTCTCACTCCTGTAATTTGCTTCTGCTTTTCTCGGCTATATTTTTAGGGTATTTTTGTTCTCAGTGAGGTGTTTTCATACAAACGTGTTTCTGCTTCTGCAGTGACTATAGCTTTTTTTGTAAAGCATAGTTATTAGTGAATAATCCTATTTCTTCTATCAGTTGCCATGATAAAATTATTTCTATCATCATAATGAATCTCTTATTGATGGTTCGGTCACCTCAAACGTCGACCGTCTGATGACCGTGTTAAGAGTCTAGATGTTATAGATTTGGCTTATGTTAAGAAAGGTAGAGGTAGACCTAAAAGACTTGGGCATGTATAAAAATGATCTTAATTTATTATAATTAAATTAAAATATGACACTCAGTAGGCACAATGTAGAAAAAGGATTCATGTAGCCAACCCACCCCACTTACTGAGATAAAGGTTTGAAAATATTATCTTATTGTATCTGTATATGAATGCATGATGGATGGATGGATTTGTGCACCAGAACTTGTCTGTCTGTTGCATGTTAAGGGATTTTCTTTCATTAAGCATTTTCTTTATTTTTTAAAATATCTTTAGTGGTAGTCTTTAAATAAAATATAGTTAAATATATTATTGGTCGCTTTGGAAAAGAACTCATTTCTTTTATATTTCTCTCTCTCTCTCTCTCTCTCTCTCTCTTCTTGTGCTTATTTACTGTTTGAGGTTATATGCTCAATTATTATCAGCACCACCATTATTATCATGATAATGGTTAGGCTGGTTTTTATATGGTTTTGTGGCCAAGTTTTTTCATCTTGAGCATTTTTAGTTGTTTTTTTTTATTGATGGTTCACGCCTATTTTAACTGTTGGATGTTTGAGCTTTATGCTTTTAATTCATGGAGGAGATGTCTTGATGCCATTATCCATTGTTGAATCAGTTGTTAGCTTAGCATTTGTTTTCATGGGCTTTACACTAGGCAGAGTTGATTCAATTTAAATTGAAGCCCAAGTCACTCGATTTTTATTTGCTAGAATTTTAATCAAAATTAAAATTGAAATCTAATCACTTTTTTTTGAGCATGAATCATTATAAATTTGTTTGATTCAACTCATAATAAACTTATGCACTCACGTATACATGTGCCTCCACATCAATACACACACTCGTACACTATTTTTATAAAATGATGTTTCACACATGCACATACCTTTTAAATTATTTATAGAACCTCACTACTAATACTAATTGCATTTCCATACATTTAAATAATATTGAGTTTTAAAGTTTATACATACGAAAGTAATTCTGAGTCAACTTTCAACCTGATATGGATTTATCATTTTGATTTTTTCTTAATTTTTATTTGAGATTGTATATTAATCAATTTTGGTTCAATTGGAAGTTGAGTTGAGACTGAAATATTAGATTTTGAGTTACGACTAACTTACTTAGCCCCACTCAATATCAACCAATAAGCATATCAGTCTTTTTGCAGATTTTTTTTGTTAATTTCCATATTTCTTGTAGCATTAGCTTGTTGCTTCTAATATCTGAGTGCAGTCCTACGCATTTACATCATGCATTTAAATGTTGATTCAATGTTCATAGAACTGTTGGGCTAAGCATGATTAACTTTTGCCCGATTTTCCTTAATCTATGCAGGTTTTATCAAAATGAATTTTTAGGATAATGTTTTTTTAAAATTTTCTTAAGCTGATTTCAGCTATCTCTGTAACTTGTTTGAAATAGTAATGATGATGCATTTACCTTCAGTCTGAACGTGATTTTTGTTATCTCACAGATTAAACGGTTTGAAAGCTAATTACAATCTTTGTTAGTGGTACTGCACACCAAACAATAAAAAAGGAAGTGGCATTTACATACACGTAGAACCCAATTCTTATGTATTTACATATCTCACAGCTAAACTTTCATATTTACATAAATAGCACTCAGATCTTTAATATCACATAAAAAATAACACCATTACCACTTTTTAGAAGTGAAATACAGCTTTTCATGTATATGTTTAAAACATCAAAGTACTATGTATGTAAATATGAATAAATATGAAAGTTTAGGTGTGAAACATGTAAATACATAAAAATTGTGTGCTACTTAAACAAATTTTTCAAAAAAATCAGGATCTTTACTCTAGGATGACACATTTTAGTTGTCTCTCATTTGAAGCTAACAAGCTTCTTAAGTCAAGTGAAAGGAAGATTATACCTTTCTCCTTTTCAATTGGGTAAGCCATCCTGCTGTTATATCGTATGTATCCTTCTAGGGCAGATTCCCTAAAATTAAAGAACAAATGTCCCTTTTATGGTAATCTATGACTAAGATGCTAGGGGTTCATTCATATTATTTATTTAGATTCAGGCGGGCTCTAAGCACATTTCTAGTTGTTGTTCCGATCTTTTTTACAATGTTCAAAAGATATTAAATGTCATGTGTAATACATGGATGCTGAAAGAGCAATTATTTCAAACCAGGTGTAACGATGGCTAGTTGCAAAAAATAGCTGGAGTCTAAAATGCCTTATTTAGAAGGAAGTCATTAAAACTAGCCATGGAAATCATACAGTTAGATATTTATAGCAAACTACTATAAATCTTGTATTCGTACCATCATATTAAATGTTGGAAATTGTAGAGTTTACCAGTGTTAAGAAAATTGGAAAATGGTGAGACCCTGATCCTTGAAATGATGACAACATAACTTTAAATTGATTTTTTTTAAGAATCATTGTTTCAAACTTGAGATAGTGAGATTCAAGCTGCCTTGTTGAAAATTCAGATGACTCTAATTGGCTGAGAACAAGAAGGCAAATAAATGTTTGCAAATTAAAGAGGAGTTTATGAATAAAGGAAAGTGAAAATAGACCAACCAAATCAATGGTTTATCTGGGGAGCCATGTTTAACTACTAACATTTTGCTTGGCTTCTCCAAAGTTTGGGTGGCAAACATCAATCAAATTCAGGAACAACAATTTTAATTTTACCATTTTTTTGCTGCAACAAAGATTCTATTGTAATATGAATTAATCAGGGCATTATAACAAAATAGTCCAAAAACTGGAAGCTTTCACTTCTTTAGTTTGGTAGACCCATTTGGTGTGAATCAGAAGGAAATCGGGAACGATAACATGTTGGAATTTTGTAGGTAATTTTTTAAAAATAACTTAGTTCCATTCTCCAAGGGAAGATGAAATTTACGGGAAGGGCATGGCTTTATCATTACAAGCTTGCCTTAGCATGAAAACACTCAACTGAAGAGAAAAAACTTGATACTAAAGACGACACTTTTGCCCACACAACACTTTCTTATTAATCTAGGCAATGGCCTTTTTAGGTCTAAAAACTAAACAACCAATATCATGTTAATATACGGAAAAAAAAATAATCGACTAACCATGTGTTGAATCAGAATCTATTCGGGAGACACGCCTAAGGATTAGAGCGCTAGACGAGGAGAGAGAGGGAGAAAGAGGGCAATAACATAGTAATGAATCGTAAAAATTGTCTTATCATTGAGGCAACACGTTATTCATAGGGCTAGTTTGGTAGATATTTACATACTGTACCCTTAAGTTACGTAGATAAATCGGGGCACTTTGGTCCGATGTATAATAATGAACTATGAATTTTGTGAGTGTGGCTGAGAGACTGCTAGGCCAGGCGGTAAGCGATTTCTTTGTCCAGACGGATATGATTTTGGTGAGCCTTCTTGAGATGATACGTATTTGGTTTTCTATTCCCTATGCGAGATTGGTTTGATACGTTTTGAAGATCTTGGGTTGTCCCCGATAGACTCCGGTGGGTCACACCTCTCTTCCCTCTCCCCCTTGGGCGTTCTCAAGATCCACATTTACTCATTCTTGATGTACGTCTTAAAGTTACCAAATTTTCTTACTCCTTGATAGCGATGACTGCAATAAGGACAAGAAAATTTTTAGTGCAGGTGAATCTTTCAACAACTATTTAATGCTATAAATAAATGCCCTAGATTTCCTAGCCCGCGATCATCAAATACAAATCTATGAGATGTGGTTTCATCGTTGTGGATTTGTTTTTGCTTTCTAAGCTTTTGTGCTTTTGCCCGTAGTTTCGTGGTGAAAAAGTCTAATTCCGGATTGCAATCTGCCGATATGACCAGAGTGTTGGTTGCTCTTGGGATTAGATCGCGTCGTCCCTCGGGTGACACGTCGAAGTGGAAGTCGATAAAAAGATAAAATCAACTGAAGAAACGAGGACGGGGGAATCATCAGATTTGATCCTCGACATGTTGAGGATGTCCCCTTTCAAGATTGACGACAAGTCGGGGGATCCGTTGTCGGTCTCGTCGGTGGGAGTTCCATCAATGACTTACTTCCCGCGGATTCACACTAGTGTTCTTCTCTTTTCGGATGACCTAGAAATCGACGGAGGCAACCATCTGTGGAAGATTTGCCGTTCCGCGATGCAGGAGGTAGGACTTGGTCTGAGGTGAATCAGATTTTTGGTAAGATTATTTTTACCTCCTTTCCTTCCCTAATAGAGGATGCATGTCAACGATCTTCCTTCCCACATACGGGGTTCTTTACGCTGGGCGTCTTTCAGGGGCTGTTAGGAGCGGCGATTTGATCATTAGCATGGCTTCAACTTCGCGTGATCTAGTTGCCTGTGAGGGAGATGTTGTTAGTCGTCTTGGTTGTCTACCGGGACTTCCGTGCGCCGACTGTTGGAAATGAGGGTGACTTCTACCCAGGATTTGCAAGCTGGGCTGGAAGTGACGCAGTGAGAAGTAGTTGACCTCCGCCGTGAGGTGATCGAGGTCCGGGAGGACGCGTTTTTTATGAGATTCTGTTTCGAGGACGACTGAGCGACTCAATTTAATTTTGGAGGTCGAACTTTGTACAAGAGGCATGTCAGGAGTCTAGTCCCGACCGAGGCTACCGAGGATCCGCTTGTAAAATATCTTCTTTCAAATTGAATCTTTATGTAATCATGGTTCCTACGGAGAATAATATTACTTAT